AAATAAATAATATACATAATTAACGAAATATGTAACGAATAAATTAAATTGAATAATATTTTTTTTACTTAAACAATTAAGAAATAGTAAAAGGAAAAATCGAATAAATATTATTCAAATAAATAATCGAAATAGAGTAATTAAATATGAAATAAATAAATAATATACATAATTAACGAAATATGTAACGAATAAATTAAATTGAATAATATTTTTTTACTTAACCAATTAAAATAATTACTTAAAGAAATAGTAAAAGGAAAAATCGAATAAATATTATTCAAATATGAAATAAATAAAACACATGATTAACGAAATATTTTTTTTATTTCACCAATTAAGATAATTAATTAAAGAAATAGTAATTTCTCCATATTGTTAGTTAATATATATCGTTGTCTCACTTATTTTAAAAGAAAACAAACAAATACATGACACATAGAAAATACATATGACAAACGTGATAAAAATAAAAAGAGTTATTAAACAATGTGATAAAGATTACATCCGATTTCAATTCAGAAAATCACAAACACATGACAAATAGAGAATACATATGATTTATATAGATACTACATATCCGTTGAGTCATTGTTTAGTGGGATCTGGCTTGTACAAAATCGACGTGTATGTCCTGTAGCGCCGCACCTCCCGCACTTACACGGTTGTGGAAACTCTCCTGTAGATGGTATTCTAGACGTCCATCTACGACCAGAAGTACACGGTGGAGCTTCAGGTGGCAACAAATTATTAAGTGTTACAATATAATCAGGAACTTCCCACTCGACTTCATTTGGTAGAGGAAATATAGTTTCGGCATACGCTGCTCTCCAAAAATCAGTCATATAATAATGACTGCACAAGCTGTGTGGTGGAAATCCTCTATACATAGCCACTAAAACATGTGCACATGGAAAACTTTCCAATTGAAATTTTCTGCACGTGCAGGTATTGTCATTCAAGTCTACAATGTATCCAACATTGCGCCCGCATCTCACCGAGAAGCGAAATTGATCTAGTGGTTTCACAGATAGAGCTTTTGCCACTTCCAGAGTTTTGAATAGTCGATCTTCCTGTGCCCGAGCTAGCACACTCGTGCAATTTTGGGATTCTTCACGTCGGTCATAAAACCACTGTTGCAACTTGCTGCGAATATGTTCAATCATTGCGAGAATCGGTAACTCTCGATCCTTCTTGAATAATGCATTCAGCGACTCTGCATTATTCGACGTCATCATGTTGTATCAACGTCCTGGAAAATGTGACCGTGCCCAATGTTTGACCCCCATTTCTGATAGATATTCCCATGCACTTTCTAATTTATGTTCTATTTCGCCCATGAACTTTGTAAACTCTTCAAAGCTGTAAGCTTCTGCAGCTCTCCTAAACAATGCAACGATGCCACTGCCCCGGTACCTAGTCTTCAGATTGCCCTGAATGTCGTACATACAATAACCATGATGTGCTTCTGGAAAAACTTCGGCTATACCATTTATTATTGACTGCCCCCGATCAGTCACAAATGCAAGGTTCTCGATGTTCCCAATTACTTCTCTCAACTTCGTGAAGAACCAACGCATTGCTAGATCATTCTCTCCATCGACAATGCCAAATGCAAGAAGGTAAATTTGGATATTGGCATCTTGACAAGTAGCAATAATCAACTTTCCTTTATATCTAGCTCTTAGGGTTGTACCATCAACTGGAATTAGAGGTCGCATAGCATTTCGAAAACCTCTAATGCATTGTCCAAGAGCCATAAAAAAATACTTGAAACGATTTTGCCCATCGGTTTCAATAAAAAACGTCGAGTCAGAATTAGTTCTCACCATGTTGTGGCAATACCTGGCCAATTTGGCATAACTCTCCTCTGTCGAACCCATTAAATCTTCCAATGCACATTCTTTAGCCTTCCAGGCCTTCTGGTAACTCATAACCACCCCATACTCTCGACGGATGTCGTTGATGATATCTGTAGGTCTGTAAATCGTCCGTGGATCCTGAAACTTGTGCATTATCTGTCGACCAATAAACCATGATCGAGCTTACCTGTGATCATTTTGACGAATACCCACTTCACAAGTATGTTCCCGCGCATACTTACGAACAACAAAGAACTCATTTGTGTCCATCTTTGTCGCACTCAAACGCCAACTGCAATTGTTGTCCACACAAATACTTGTGTATGTAGACTTATTTGATTTTTTTACCTTAAACTCAAAATTATGTTTCATTGCAATTCGGTGCGCGGCTTCTTGCAAATCTCTTTTCGTGTCAAACAATTGATTGACATGTAAATCTTCATCATCAGGAACTACACGCGAACAATTAGAAGACCGTGTACTCGGTCCAGCATGTGAGCTCCCATCAGACTCATGTCTCTGTCTGGATAAAGCAATCAAATCCTGATTTGTAAATGACCTTTCATACTCGTTGTCTTGAACTTCCTCGTAAATCCTTCGTGTAACGGTGACATCATGGTGAGTAGCAACTGCCCCAGGAATAACTACATCATCCTCCCGAGCAATCTCAACAGTATCCCAAAAATCATTCTCATTACGATCCTCTCCATCAAAAACTTCGTGTTCACCCTCGATGACATTTTTCTTCAACAAACTTACGCAAATAGGAGTCGTCTTTCGACCTTGGTTCAATTGAATTAGATGCTTTATTTGCGCTTCAAAAGTAACTTTCAAAGGTGGAATCGAAATTGTTGAATGCTTTTGAAATAAAAATCCTAATTCCATATCGTACTGAGATGAATCGACGTTAAGCATGTTTTGTATTTCACTGTACATTTCTGTAAATGAAGTATTTTTTGTTATCGAAATAGCAGCAACCCCTTCTCCTTCACTCGTCCATTTCCATTCCCATTGACCATTTTTCTTTCCTTTGAAATTCGCCGAAATAACAGATTGGGACACATGCTTTTGCCATATCTGCATTACGAATTAAAAATATCAGAACAAATTATCAGAAATAAAATTATCAGAATCGAGGGGCGGGGGAGTTTGCAAACGGACGGTCGGGACGGTCCGGACCGTCGGCAACGGGCGGTCCGGACGGTCGTTAAATCCGGCGTTCCGGCGTTTGATCGGTGCCGGCCTGAACTTTGGCTCTAATATTATTTTTTCTACCATTTAAAAAAAATATACGACTTCAATAAAAATAAAATTAAATACTACGAAAGATACTTACCGAATTGAAGTGCTGAAATTTAACTAAATTTTTCTGTTGAGATTGATAACTGATAAGTTTATGAAATTTTGAGGTTGAAGTGGATGAAAAATGGAAGAGTTTTTATCGT